TGGAAATATCAAAATCAAAATTAACAACATGAGGTGCCCTATCAATAAAGTTGCCCTGATCCTTGTAAAATGAAAAAGACTTAAAAATTTTGCGAGTTCACGTCATTTTTCAGCATAAATGCAATGTCTTGAGCGACATCTCTGTGGATTTTACTGGCAAGATTATATACGTGGCGTCTATCTTGACGTCTTTAGGTAGTCAAAACTAATAATTCTTGTGTTACAAAAATTGTTTTTCAAAAAAGCAAACAAACTCTGTGGTTTCCGTCCTTCGAACGTTTATTTTTCATACAAACTAATACATTGCGGTAAATCTGAAAAATAGGTTTTATGTCATTCCTCCATATTTTACAAGATGTGATCCATTTAATCATGGCATACCTGTGCTAGTTGTCAATTTATAACACCCTGAAAGTGCACCTTTGTGCCTATTAGCATAAAAACTATAAATAGTTCTCTCGTTATAAGTCCTTGAAATATGCAGCTTTAAACCGACGTAACGTTACTATGTTGACGTCATCACAATTTCATTTTAATATTTACCTACAACACTTCCCGTCTATCCACTTTCTAAACGTGAACCCATTCGAACTGACAGTTCTCTGGTTAAAGAGTCGCCATGCACCCTTAAGATAAAGCCACGCCTCGTTATATGATAATGACGTAACGTCAGTTTTCATCAAGATCTCATCACCGTTTGTCTACCTTTATTCCAAAAGAAAATCCAATCAAACTCAAAATTTTTAGTCACTAAAAAAGTATGTACCTTTTAAGATCACGCCCAAGGACCCCTGATTACATCATCCAGACATTTCTCCCAACTTCCTACTGTAACACATTACTCTTTGAATCCGTGTGCCCCTATTACGTAACTGCAGAAGAAAAAGAGATGTTCAACAAATATTAAACATCATGCTCAGTCACATAAGTATCACGTCACGTAACTAAGTGCCACAAAATTTGATTTCACGTCTTGAATCAAATTGACCTTTTATACCTGAGTGCTAAGAGTGGATGTTTGCCTGGGCGCAAACGCTGTTCTCTGACTGCTATCTTCTTAATGTTTAATAGTCATGCTATAAATACAGGTTTTTTGGAAAAGGCTTCATTATCCTGTAAAGGATTCTAAAAGTAATTACCTTCCCTCGAATTTTAAATACCGTCATGACCTTTTCAGTGTGTTTCAATTAAGTTATTGGTTCGTCTTTTGCAGGATGATTGATACTGTTAGCATCGACTCCATTGAATCAAATGACTCCATGGGACTCTCCAGTCTTCTAAGCCTGTAAGTATCGTGTGGCTCCAGGCTTTTTTCATATTTTGCAACATCCCAATGTGTAACATAACCATGGCAAACGCGCTATTTTAATAAACTTTGTCTTTCGTCATAAAACTGTGCTGCGTTAACGTTATTAAAAGGAAAGATTTTTTCTTGATTGAAAAAGAAAGAAATTTAAAATAAAGCAATTTGTTTGGACTATCTATTTGGATTTCATTAATTGCAAGCTTTTGCGAGATTTCTTCCTGAGCAATCCAAAGGAGGTAATAATCTTATAAAGTTCGGCAAAGACCACAGCTTAATGGTATTTTGATTAAACCAATTTTAATTTTTAGTTGGAAAAACATTAAACTAACAATAGATTCCAGGATTACGCAATGATGACATCACTGGCCACGAAACACGTTGTTCAAAGAACCATGTTATTACCTGGCGTCGAAAAAGACACCAGCACAAGAACCGGCTTATTGCCGTTTTGACAATCCCTCCGACAATCTTTAAGAATTCCGTACATCAAGTTTTTGTCTGAGAATTCGCCCGTCCCGCGTGTATTGTGTGTATCATTTGACTGGACAATTATCTTTATTTCGAAAGCTACTTGATTCTGTTTCAGTTGGTGATATGATTAAGCATCGTTCGGAAGGATTGCCTTACAATTTTCTCTCCCGTTAGTATTAAAGGGGAACAAAAATTGTTGGCCAAGTTAAAACCATCAAACTAAGGCATTCGATTAGGGGCTGGTGTCAAGTTAACCCATTCAGGACGTCTTGTTTCCTCAGCACAGACAATGTGAGTTATGCCACAGTTCTTCCATCATTTTTTAGGTTCAAGACGAATGCTCACATCATCTCCATTGAGTCAAATTCCTTCAGTGGACTCTCCTCTCTGGAGCACCTGTAAGTTTTCAGTAATTTATGATCTGTGTCGTTAAAGAGAACAATGACAGTTGATTTGAAATAAATTCAAATTTCAACAAATTATTTCAATGAACCCTATTCTCCCTATACCGGATTAAAGGTGGCGTCAGCAATATAAGCTTAAGTGGAAGTAACATTTTGTTGGTTATAAACAACTGTTACTTTTTAG